AGTAACCAAAACGACTAGAAAAATTGAAACTTATGCAAATTACTTTTAAAAAAATAAACAAAGTGATAGATTACATACTGTCTGTGTATCTTCCTTTTTTTTTTTTTAAATCTGATGACTTCTTTGTGATTATAACCGTTTTAGCTCCTCTTGGCGTTTTTGAGATTACGTACTGTCATAGTAAGCTGTTGTCTCTCACCTTCCACTTCTGCAAATCTCAGACTTATCTCTCTTGCATCTCCTTCAGCTCCATCTCCATTGTCTCATTACATTCTCTCCATGATGCCATCTCTGCTTCAAGAACTCGGACTTCTTCCTTTTCTTGAACATGTAGAGGAGCCTCATTGTCACTTACCTGATTGAGACTAGTTTCCAGTTCTGTTCTTCAGATTCTTTTCCTCTTCCGTCAACATATTCAATGAAGCTTCAGGAGCTGAAGATATTAGTTTCTGGTCACACAAACACAAAAGTTCACGAGACTTGAAGATATTAATTCTGAAAATGTTTAGATGCATGTATATATATATATATATACCTCGACAAGTTTTAGTTTATCTTTCATCACTACTAGCAACTCCTCTGTTTACAGACTCTGATTCTTTCCTCATTGATTCAATCCTCCTCTCTAGCTCGTTTTTACTAGTGTTCTCTGAAGCTTCAGCTTCCATAACTTCTATTCTCGTCTTTTCCAGCTCAACGCTTAGGTTCTCTGCTTGTAACATGAGGCTCCTTTTCCAGATCCTCAATCTCATCCTTCAAGACTGTGATCTTTTGGTTTTAAATTTGCAGTAACATCTTCTTCATGCCTCTTCTGATTCATTAGATCTTCAAGACTCTCTAACATATTCTCCATCTGACTTGTTTTGAAACTCAGCATTTTAAAAAGCTTGTGGAACTTTACCTCGTACTGGGCTTGGTTTCTCGGAGCTCATCGTTAGCGTTCTTCAGCATTTCTTCACGTTGACGTTTCTGCTTTCTTAGTTCCTTGGCTTCTGTCATTGCTTTTATAGCCAATCTCATTTGATGCAAACATTGAATCTATCTGCTCTCTTGAATTAGTCCTGGAGTTTCTCGGCTACACTAGCATTCTTCACGGATTATAATCCGCTTGAAATGCTCTTTGTTCTTGTTCCACTTTACCTCTGATGATAGCATCGATGTCTGCCTCAAATACCCGAGCTTGTATGAGATATCATATCATGACTCTCCTGCTTAAGAATTTAATAACCTAGAGTAAGCTGTTCCATCCGTACCTCAGACTCGTTTATTGACCTCAATCTCATTGTAAAGGTCTGTGATCTTCAGCTCCAAGACTTGTGTATCTTTCACATCCGTATGTCCCTTCACCAGGTCTTCAACAGCCTTTAGATCCTCATTTTCATCTGTCTCACTCCTAAAACCTTCACAAACAATATAGTGGAAAACAACATGCAAAATCAATTGATGTTTCTCAAACCCACCCACCTCTTGTGGTATGACTGTCTTACCAAGAACAAAAAGCAAAAGGTTACCATCTCAGATCTTCGTCGACTAATCTCGGAGATTTTAATTATAGATCATCAAATCCGATTATTTTCCATGTTACGTCAAATCAACCAAGATACAAAGAAAAATGATGAAAAGTTAAAACATAAAACAACATCCTTTGGAATCTATATTTTTTATTAGAGCTTATCTTACTTCATTTATGCACTGATTTTGCGTCAACAAGTGGAGCAGCTCTTCTCTGTCATAGTAGCAACCGAGAATAAAAGCAAACAAATTGATTCACCCTACAACTCTTCTCTCAAGGGTTAAGAAAGCATGTTGAGGAAGCTTTTGTCCAATCTCCCATCATGTAACATATTAGTTACTAAGCCAAATGTTAAAGCATCTCCAGCAAACCCGCACCTCCTCATTTCTTTGATCAGTTCTGCTGATGCGGCTCTATCAACGTCCCTAAGATGTGCCCTGATTAGCACGTTATAAGTACAGTCATCTGGGAGAGGCCCGTCTTCTTTCATTTTCCCAAACAAAGCAACAGCTTCCTGCTTTAAGCGTTTCAAACAGAATCCTGAGATCATAACAGTGTACGTTTTAACATTAGGCTTCACTCCTCTGAGGTCGAGGCTACAAAATAATTCCCACGCGTCTTCCACTTTACCAGCCTTGCACATCCCCTCAATGACGATAGTATATGTAATAATATCAAGTTCCATTTCACTGTCTTGTATATCCTTGAATATGACCAACGCTTTCTCTAGCTTCCCATTCTCACAAAATCCGTCTAACAAAATGTTGTAGGTCCAAATACTGGGAGGCACACCACTAGAAACCATTCGCTTGAAAATTTCTTGAGCATTCTCACAGTCCCCAGATTGGAAAAAACCTTGGATAAGAGTGGTGTAAGTAATGGTGTCCCCAACCAATCCTCTTTGGGACATTTCACGAAAGAGTTCCATGCCATCTTCTACTCTTTTGGATTTACAAAATCCATGTATGAGAGTATTATAAGTAACTAAATCTGGATAACAATCCTTGCTAATCATCAAATAAAACATCTCCTTGGCCTTGTCCATGTTAGTGTATGCAAAACCCATTGATCAATGAATTATATGTGAAAATTCCAGGACCTAAAGACCTTTGGATCATCTCCTTGTACAAATTTTCAGCCTCTAAAATCTTCCCTTCTTTCGCAAACCCATCGATCAGTGCACTAAAAGTAAAAACATCGGGGTTGATTTCCTCTCAATCATATCGCTTAGTAGTCGAGATACATCACTCCATCTTCCATAACAACAAAGACAGCTTATGAGGGAGTTGTAAGTAACAACATTTCCTCTAACTCCTTTGTTCTCCATTTCATTGAATAGGTTGAGTGCATCATCGACATGTTTGTATTTGCAAAGACCATCAATGACTGTATTGTAGATCACAACATTCACCTCAATGTTCCCCTTTTCCATCTTCGTGAGCAGATCTAAAGCCAAATCAATATTACCTCTCTTACACACTCCATTTACTACAGCACCATAAGTAACCAGATCTGGTTGACATCCTTTCTCGACCATTCGGTCAACTAAAGCCACAGCTTCGGAAACTTTGTTGTTGAGAAAGAGCCCGTGGATTAGAGTTGTAAATGTCACTTTGTCTGGTTGATACCCCATTTCCACCATTTGATCAACCAACGCTACGGCATCGGAGATCTTATTACAGCGGCAGAAACCATTGAGAAGCGAAGAAAGTGTGACGACGTTGGGGTCATAGCCAAGTTTCATCATCTTACCAAGCATACCTAAAGCCAGAGGGAGTTGAGAGGAGCGGCAGAAACAGTTTATCAAAATATTGTATGTATAGATATTATGTGAAATCCCTAACTTCTGCATCTTCTCACCCAAAGAGATGGCAACATCATACTTCTTCAACTTGGCAATTGCAGTCAACAGTTTACTGAAATCGATAATTGAAGGGAAAGGACGAGACTTTACCATCTCACTGAACAAACCAACCGCATCATCTAACTTCATATCTTGTAGAAACCCATTTCTCAGCTTCTCTCTGTAATCATCACTGCGACCAGAGAAAGCTCGAGTCCAGCAACGGAAGGATGAAGGAGAAGTTAGAGGATTACCTCTTCCCTGGAGATTTAAGTGAACAAATCGCTTTGGTGCCAGTGCAACTGCGATCGAAGTCAATCTCATCGTCTTCTTGATTTGGCTCCAGCTGACTGAGTTCCTCCTCAATCTGCAAATCGCTAAACCCTACACGATTCGTTAACCCAGAGCCGAGAGAAATTGATAAACCGAGCTATTTGGAACCGGTAGAGTTCCGGTTCAGTATTTATTAATAACTTTGCTTGTTTGGTTCCACTTTTAAAAATAAAGACCATTTACACTTCTAAAAATATCTATCTATTCAATTAAAAGAGAAGTACACACAATACTTACCTATTTTTAAGTGATTTTCTATATATTTTCTTTCTTTTTAAAATAATTTTAAACAGTTCATTTATTATCTTTCCAAATAAATATAATCACTTCATTTATTATATTTTCCAAATAATCATACATCATTTATTACAAAAATACAAAAAAAATAGTTACTTATTTAAGTGTTTTTATTATATTTATGTTTTCACTTTTTCTAACTATTTTATTAATTTTATTTAACATAATAATTCGATAGAATTTATTTTGTATGTTAAACATTATAGTTTGACAGGTTTGTGAAATTACCAATTCGAAACAAGAATTCAAAATGATTAAAATATTTTTTTTTACAGAATCAATTAGGCATGTGCATAAAGGTATCTATTTGAAAATGGATCATTTCTTTCAAATATTGGATTTTAGGATTTTAAATTAGACTCAGTTTGGGTATTAAGAGGAACTCAAAAATATTCAAAAAAACCGATATACAATTAGTTATATGGTAATACATCTAAAATATATAATATTAATTATTAAAAATAAGTATTAATTTATAAAAAAGAAAAACTAATATCCACGCGAACGTCCAAATCAAAACTCTAGTTATATAATTATAAAACTAGATTTTGAACCCGCACATCCGTGCGGGTAATTTTTCATTTTATAAAAGTATAACAAAATCTTTCAGATATATTGTTTACATTTTATTTTTATATTGTATAACTATAGAATCTTATTATTTTAATTATTTTATATAATATATTGTTGTCATTTTTTAAAAATATCAAATATATTTTTTTAGATAATGTATTTGTTGTGAATTACAAAATATATGTCAACATTTTTTGTATAAAAATATTACATGATTTAAAAAAATTAATATGTTTTAACAGTGAATAAAAGAAAATTTTAAAATAAAATATTTTTCTTTACCAATTTAATATATTTTTATATTAATTTCACATAGCATTTTATTTTAATAAAATATAGAAAATCATTAAATTATAAAATATACCAATTTTTATTTTTAATTAACATTAATATATATATATATATATATATATATTAATCACGAAATTAAATAATATATATTTTATAAAAATATTTAACTTTCTTGGTAAGATCTTGTTAGATATTTTCTCAACAGATTTTGTTATAAATGAAATTAAAGATAACTTTATAGTTATATATTATTAAAATATTTCTTCAATAATATATATTTGGTTGATTAATATAAATAATCAAATATGTTATATTAATGAAATAGTCCAATATGACTTTTTTGTAGTAGATATAAATGGTACTTCTCTTTTAATATAGAAGATAACTTTATAGTTATATATTATTAAAATATATCTTCAATAATATATATTTGGTTGATTAATATAAATAATCAAATATGTTATATTAATGAAATAGTCCAATATGACTTTTTTGTAGTAGATATAAATGGTACTTCTCTTTTAATATAGAAGATTTATCAACAAACAGGTTTAACAACAGTCAGGTGTGTTCAATGATTATATCAGAGGAGCCCCTTAATGACATTTTTATTGATGTTATAAGCCGAGTTAAAATATAAACAAGGTTATTTACTTTGGGAGAACCTTGGTCATCAATATCATCCCCAATTTCACTCAACTCTGAAGTAACAAAACTTTTGACTGAAAATTGAATTGGATAAGAACATAAACTGTGCGTTGGATATACATAACACACTGCAATGAGAAGGAATTAAGCATCTGTATACTATTTAGCAAGACTTAACCATTATAAACACTCAAGACCCTATTTCCTTACGAGCAATAAAGGGTTTCACTAAACCTTTTTAAATCACATTTTATAGAGTGCACAATTTGTTTAACGACTCTACACTCTGAGAAACAACTTAAAAGTAACAAGGCGTTTTGGTTTCTCTCTACCTACCATATCAGGTATCAAATTGGTTACAGTTCAATCTGCAGTTCTCTAAGGTAAGAAACTATAATTAGTTGGAAATCTGTTGACCATTAGTATTGAAATTGATCCAGTACGATAGATATGACATTTGATCCGATTCGACTGGCTCGATCTCATGTTTCCTGAACAATCCCATTAAACAGAACTAAAACCTGAGATTTATTGGAACTTCATTACAAATGCGGTCAAATATATATATATGCACAAATTCAAAAACAAACTACATAAAGACAGCCATATACAACAACTGACAACGTCAAATATTTATTACAAAACCGAAAAGAGAGACAAGAAACTATCCCTAACATCCTGAACATAATCATCTAAAAGATTCTATATAAGAACATCATACTTCTGTTAAAAACAAGGGTAATAAGATCACTAGCTCGCTTTCGCTCTTGAATCTTGAACAAGATCTCTGTGTGCTGGCTCGTGTCCAAATCGATTTCGAAAATTAAGATTCTATATAACTAGATCTTTATGTATAACTCAGCTAAGTGTACCTGATTGCATCACAGGGAAGGACCAATCACTGCTGTTCTTTGCCGAAGCGCTATGTTCATCATCAACGATCAAATGTCCCTCATCCGTACCAAAATCGAACTCCTTATTCAACCCGAGAGAGGACTGTTGCGCTGCTTCTTCACTAGACGACGTAGATGCTTCAGGGAACGTTGTTCTCAGCTTCTGATCAACGCATCTAATGACATGATCCGCATCGAGATCGAACGAAACCGGTTTATGCGGTCTCACAACCTTCTTCTGCTCCTCTTTAGGAGTTCTAACAGAGCAATGCAGTCTACCAGGGCTCAACAGCTTTGGTGGGTCCGAGACTTGAAAGTGAGCGACTCCTCCTCCATCAGGAAAAGGAGAAGCTGTACCGGAACCGGACATAACCGAACTCGGCGAGATAAGCTGCGCAAGTGGACTACCAGGAGGAAGTTGGTAAAACTGGAACTCATAGTTAGACACTGGAGACCTGAGACCATAGTTACCGTTGGAGTTAAAGAGCTGAGCGAAAGGGACTTCAGGGGAAGAAGGTGTGGTGGTGGTTAAGTAGATAGACTCGTCGAGAGGCGGCGTGACCGGAGCTGAAGATGGTTCGGTTGTGTAAGTAGAGAAAACCGGAGGGGAGACCAGTTGAGGCTCGTGAGCGTAAGGTCCAATGGCGAATATGGAAGGACGGTCGTTGTTGGAAGGTAAGGGACTAAATGAGAGGATCCCTACGGGGGATTGTGTAGCGGAAGGAGGTTCTGATTGGAAGAAGGAAGCTGGTGATGATGGTGGAGCTATGAAAGGAAGTGCCGTCATAACCGAACGATAACCGGAATTGGAATTGGAATTGGAATTGGAAGGAGTGTTAACCGGTTCAGGAGCAAGAGCGGATTTTCCTATTCGTTTTGTTTGTTGTGTTGATGGTCTGAAACATATCAAGAGATTCCACCATCTTCGCTTCTTCTGCAATTTCCACAAAAAGTTTCGATGAAATCAGATTTCGAGAGATTGAAATCACAGAAACAAACACTGTTTGATTCCGTGGAAAACGCCGGAGAAAATCAGAATCAATAGAGAAACGTAACTATAGTAATCGTGAATCGATGGAGTTTTGCCGACAAACTGTTCGATCTAATGCTTAGGAGAAAACGATTTTCGGATCACGAAATCATCATATACAGTTTTCTTGCGATGAAATTTCGAAAACGGAGAAGACTCACATGAATCGGAGATTGTTGATGATGAACACGATCATCAAAAGAAGCAAAAGCAGTAGCAGCTGCGTTTATAGTCTCCGAAACGTTGTTTCCACTCGCGCCGCCTCCTCTCATCTTTCTTAAGCTCTGATAATTTTCCCGAGAAAACAAAGCAGAGCATTCGAATTTCTGAAAGTATCGAAAAACACTTCAAAAATCAATATTTCCTGTGAGTAAAAGTTGAAAATTAATTTATAAATAACAAAGACACGCAACCCGAAAGTTCTGGGAATATTGTTTCTCTCCCAAAAGTATATATGTATATGTGTGTGTGTCTGTGTGAAGGTTTGAGGTCAAAACACGGCAAAGAACTTGGGCGTGCCACTATTTACTTTGTATTTGTTTTGTAATTTTGATGCGATTTGAAGGGTAATTGTGTCTAATTACTTGCGACGAATTTGACTACATTTCCTTTTTTTTGTTGTTTTCAGTTAATTTTCAGATATAAATTTGTCTGTTATTTTATTTCGCTATAGTTTTTAATTTCATTTTATTGCGAAAGTTTCACTATTTATCTGGTCAATTATTTCACTAACTATAGATTATAAAAGAATCAAATGAGATTAGTGATTTGAGATATACTTACGTCCGCAAAGATTGAGGTGTTTTTGTTTTATTTTTAATTTTTATTTCACGTAACGAGGAAGGTGTCACAAAAGTGCACGTGTGGGAGAACCGAATCTATCTCTTTTTACTAGTTTTTTTGGTTTCTCGTGTGCACATGAGTGTGGGGGTAGACTAATAAACATAACAATAATTTAAAATTATGAAAGAAATTATATACTATTGAATTAAAACTGATGTCACAACCTCCCAAAAAACATTATTATGTCACAAAGCCAATTTCAACTTGTTTTGCACGGTGGCTTGACTTTCATATTTTGGCTTTCGTTTACTTTTCTATCTCCCCATTACCCAATTATTAATCAAATTCCCCCTATAAATGCTTTATGGAAACAATAATTCAATCTTTTTGGCACATTATAGTTTAATGGTTTAATAATAGAAACTGATAGTCACTTTGTATTTCTCCAACTAAATGATTCTTGGTTCCAAAAGGGGGACAGAGCTTATTGAAGCATTTACACAAAAAAGGAACACATGCACAGTTATTGTGATTTTAAGTGCAAAAATAGTTAGCTGTCAATCTAATAAATACACAGCTCTTTACATGATTATTTTAATTTTTCATAATACTTGTAAAATCAATTTTAATTTTTAAAATCTATAGCTTTTGAAATTTTTATTTTTCTTTTAGTAAAGAGACAGTTGAGGTTATAAAAACATCATTATTTTGTCATTAAATGAGTAGAAAATATAAAAACGAGAAACTAAAAAAAATTAAGATTTTTTTTGAAGAATTGAATTTATTATTATCTATTTATATCAATTAATTATAATACTAGATATATTAGTATTATGTTATCATGTGTTTTTGTCAAAGTCTTTTATTAATATTAATGTTTTTAGAGTTTAAACCTACATGGTTAAGTACGAAAATGTAGAGGAATTTAGAAACTAGAATGAAATAATTTTACTGTCAAGTTTAAGAACTCATTTGGCATGTTCTTTTAAAATAAATACTAGTAAACGTTTCACCTGATTTTTAAATTTGTTTTAATAAACTAATAAAATGACTCTATTACTTATTTTGTTTTATACTTGTTATATAGGTAAATAAAGTTTTTATAAAAAGTATTCTTTTTATTTCCATAAGAGTCTTTTAAGAAAAAAATAATTTAAACAAAGCTATATTTTTATGAACATTTTGAAAAATTAAAATTAACTAAGGTTAATTTTCAAATTTTATAAATAAAAGGTATTTGTTATAAAATAAAATTTAAATATTTTGAGAATATTCTGTTATAGAGATAAAAATAGAAGACTATATTGAAAAAAAAACACATTTTATATTTTAGATTTATTCTATTATAGAGGGAAAATAGAGGAATATATTGGAGACGGTATAAGACACTTATTTATCCAAAAAACATATTCATACCCCACTGTTAAGTAATACTATGTCATACTCCATCCAATTTTAAATACCCGACATTTTAGAAAATTGTTTGTTTCAAATTACATTAGGTTTTTAATTTTCAGTGAGAAATTTAAAATTTATTTTATTTCTTTTTTTCAAAAGATTTTTTCTTTTAAGAATTTACGAATGTTAAAAATAAAAAAAAATATTTCTAATTAAATTATTATTTAATTTTAATATACTCTTCCCAGTAACTATAAATTAATGATATTAAATCAATTCCGATATTCTCAATTAAACTTTTTAGTGTATAATGTATTTTAGAATATATTTAAATATATCTTTGTGGAACAATAAAAAGTGAAAATTGCTTGAAATATCATAAGTTGGGTATCATTTTCAAAAACACATATGAGTTTAGGGTTTAGTAATTATTATTTAGGGTTTAATAAATAATCTTGAATAATTATAAACGATTTAGAATGGTTAATTTAGTTTTAATCATAAAGTTGTTTATAAAAATAATTATAGTTTAAAGTTGAAGTTGAAACATGATATCAAATTTATAGTAAAATTAGAATTTCCTCCATAAACAATTTAAAAATTATTTTAAAAATGAAAAAAACCTACGAACTTTTCTATCTTGCAGTTTACTTTATTAGTTATACATTTTAGAAAAGATTTTATTTATTAAAATATGACTACATAAATAGTTATTTTTAGCTTCTGGTTAATTATGCTATTACAACAGTGATAAATATTACATTGAAAATTTTACAACTGATAAATCTATCATCTGATGAAAATATACGTCTACCTACATCACTTCAATCCGCCGTGTGAGATACATTTTCGATGGTATGCTCTGCATCATGCTAAAAATCGATATCTCGTAATTTATATCTCGTAATCATTTTCTTCATAATCTGCATAGTTTATATTTTTCTATAATTTGAACCCTGGATTTTATGGTGTAAAAGCATGAATGATAGGCTTTCTATAATTTAAATTCACTGGTTTAATAGGGTTTCCACAATTACATAGATAGTTAATGATAGTTTTTTTAATATTCAAAATTAAATATATATTTAATATATTTTCACAAATTTAAGATGCTATCTATTAAAAATGAAAAAAAAATCTGCTTTTGATCTTTATAACATATAACTTTTTAAGGTAGTTTGGACTATAGAAAGATGTAACTTAGCGTTGGGCATTTTATCCGTTAAATTTTATTCGATTCGTTATTCGTTATTCGTTTTGATTCGATCCGAAAATTTCGGATATCCTTAAACTTTTGAATCAAAGCAAATACTAAAAATCAATATTCGTTAAAATCGAAGCAAATCACAAATATTAAAATTTTGGGAAACAGATATCCGATCCGATCCAGAAATATATAAATATATGTATATCTTGATTATATTTAAAATTTTAAATGTATAAAATTATATAATTAGTATTCTAGCACATGATTATGAACAATTCTATTCACATTATTACTTATATAAAAGTATTACATAAAAATAGAGAAAAAAAATTATGACAATTATATTTTTCTTTAAATTTTGTGTTATTATAATTGTAACTTAAACTTAAAAAATTAAAAAATATGTAAGTTTACTAGTTCTTTTAATTTTTATTTTGTATATCATGCAAAAAAATATTTTTGCAAAGCAAATTTGTATCAAAATTGTAAGATTATTTGTATTAATCAAAGTGAATGAGATATTCGTAAATATTCGTAAATATCCGCAAATATCTATTTATTTTTCGGATATCTGTTTATTCGGATATCCGTATTTTTTCAAAGCAAAGCAAATAATATCGGTAACTTTCGGAACAAATCACAAATACCTTAAAAGAACCCGGATATCTGATCTGCGCCCACCTTTAGATGTAAGCACATATAAAGTCCATTGTAATTGAAATTACTATGTATCAACAAATATAAAAGTTATTTTGCTCATAGACTCGTATAGTTATAGCAGGGAAACGATATTGAGCTTTGTGAATTAGATTTATGTCGTTATCAGAAATGAAATCGAAAGAATCTAATCGTTAAAGTTGAGCACATTATTGTTCAGCTTTTTTTTCTTTATAAATTTTTCACTTGGATTATTAAGACCTGTCGGAAGTTCAATGAGTTAGGTCATCAACCCCACCTCCGGACTCGTGCTTTGATACGTGTCACCAACCCACCTTGCATTCAAAGACAAAGACAAGTACAATTAAACATATAATCATGAAATTGGAATACAATTATCCTCTAATTCGATTTTGACTTCGCATTAACACTTTTTATTTCTGCAATGAGATAATACCATGACACCAGCTTTCACGTGCATCAAAGCTGGATGAAAAATGACAAGAAGTTTACGTGAGATTTCGTCCGAAGTAAAAGCGACACCAAAATACAAGTTAAGAACAATAAAAGTCAGATTAAAATAATATACTCGAAGATTCGAACTTATCATAAACTTCCCTTTACGGCCAACTTTATAAGCTGTATTACAAACCGGATGTTTGAGTCCCTTGTTAAAATGTTTATGGTCCCAAATATTTCAGTAACAATTTTTTTTACAAATTTAGAGACCTTTTTCAATTTAAATAAAATTTTAAAAAAATTTAGGGACCCTAGTCCAATGTTTCATTTCGGTATGTTCAAAACCGGTACCCCTAAACTGAAGAAACAAGTTTACTTGCCTGTAATAATTGAAAAGCTTCTGTTGAATTGAGATAAGAATACTTGAAGAAGGAACTACCTTTTTAATGATCAAAACTGCTCAAAGAACCAGAGAAATAGGAATCCAAAACAGTTTATATTATTGAGAAGATGATCCCACGAGATGTGAAACAGAAACTAGTAGTGTTGAAAGAAAGATTCAAGACACTTGGAACATTTGAAGAGCATTTAAGAAGATCCGTGGTGTTGAAAGAAAGTTGTTCTTTGGGATCTTTCTTTATTTCAGATTCATGTTAAGAAGATCCGAGGAGCAATATAGTATTATTCAACTATGTACTCTGATGTACCTATATGTTAGCAGAAAGGCAAACTGGTATGATTGAAAAGAAGGCGTACCAAATAACATTAGGCCAAAATCTCACTCTAACCAGAAGAAATGATCAAGAAAGCATATCCATCAAGTCTTTTTGTTGTCTAATTGGCCTTCAAACAACACATAAAATTGAAATAAACAAGTCTAACAAGTTTGTGAGACATCACAG